GGCCGGAGACCATAAATCGGGGAACGTCTTACTCCTAAATGCCCGGGGTATTTACCGTGAAACAAAAAGCCACGATGCGATAAATAAAATCTGACACCGAGGGGGCGTGCCATCGCATCTCTGTCTACCTCTGTTTCGCGAATAAAGCGCCGATGCTTCTTCTTATTCTTCTTCTCCTTCTTCTTCTTCTTCTTCTTCTTCTTCTTCTTCTTCTTCTTCTTCTTTGTCGTCGTCGTCTTCTAGTTCTCTCGCCTGGTACCGAGAAAAGCGGTTCAAATGAACCCCAAGTCTGAAATGTCTGGAGAGGGTTGCAGGAAGCCGGTCTCTCCTCCGTTCGGCACCAAATTCCACGTCGAAAATCGAGTCGCGCTCAAAGAACCGGTTCGCACCTTCGGACCCGAAGGCCAATCGATTGCGCGTGTATGTGTGCGCGTCACGAGAGTTGCTTTCACGATGCAACCGTGATCACGCGGGTTTCTCTCATCTTTTTCACTTCTTTTCTCTCCGGTGTTCCGGAGCCCTTAACCAGAATATGCTGCGAGGCAGTGGCAACGGCAGATGCGAAATCGTGATTAAACGATTCGACAAACTCACAGGGATCCGCTTTTCGACGAGATTGCGCGTTGCAAGCCTGTCGTTTCTATCAGAAGTAATTACGGTTCTCGTGTCAATATCGTGAATTAAAATTCGAAGAAAGATTCGAGCGATTTAAGCTGAAATAGAGAACAAGGAAGAAGAAAGCTGCAAAGCATTGACAGAAATATATCTAACGGTCGATTATTCCTCTGATAAGCAGTGCTTCGAGCTGCCTCGATGATCAACCTATTGACCTGAAACCAAATTCTGCTGATCGTGCTCGATCGAAAGAGGAACGTTTTACGAGTAAGCGATGTCGGGTCACCGGGTATATCGAACTTCATAATTTCTTCTGGAACATCGAAAGTGCCCCCTCGGGGGCTACGGTTATATATTACCAGCTATAATGAAGACTCCAACAGCAACGAGCTACCGAGCCACAGCCTTGTTTATCACCTCACCTCAAATATACAATTAACATGTTGAAAAGCCGCCCGGAGCTCTCGGAATCGTAGCCTTCCTTTGCTTCGCACCGACAAAGAAAGGGTTGCGAAACCTGTATTCAGTCTCGTTACCTCGTACGCGCCTCGTTAAAGCGTGTCTGGATCCTTAACTCGCAATCCCTTTCCTTATCCCCTGACTATCTCTCGAGAGACTTCCAAAATCACCGATCGCGAGCAACCGAATCGTCGTAGACTTTCCAAGATTCGCCCTCGTTCATCGAACTTATCAATCAGGGAGATCGATCGCTTTTTGAAACTTGCTTTGTGAAACTGACCTGAATATCGGGAAGAGAGGGGGACGGGGGGGACGGGACGGGAGGGGGGGGGGGGCACGATCGACTTTTCCCGAGTGAGCGCACAGCTGTCATTATTAAGTATATAATTAAAGAGAAAGATTGCGCAGACCTGGAGGAGTCTAAAAACGATGACGTTCAAGTTTGTCAGCGATTTTCTTTTTTTTTTTTAATTACGTTCAAAGAGGCCCGGACAATCCGCGTTCGAAACGAAAAAGTAAATCTCCGATTCTGCTCGAACTACGTGCTAAACGAAAAACACTAACTCGCCGATCGAGATGACGGTTCAACGTAGGAAGAACAAACCGAAAATCTTTGTTGCAGATAAGACGCACGAATGGATCATTTCGCGCGGGATTCGATACTTTAATCGGCTCGCTACGTAAAGAACGTGCCCCCGAGTGCACGATAGGCGCGATATTGATAGTCCGTCGCGTCAGAATTCTCATTTATCTTCATCCTTCAATTTCCCGTGTACGCGTGCTAGATCGTCCGCGCCCGCTCAACTCGCCAGAAATGAAACAAGGCTACCATGTTTTCGAGAGTAAGACGTGCCGAGAGTGATAGTGCTCCGAACGTATTCCAAACACCACTAACCGAGGTTACGCGACGGATATTGCATCGAATCGGCTATAAAGTCTTTTTATTCTTCCCCTACCCGGAGGATAGATCTAGAGAGCCGGTACTACGTGTCTTGCCGGAGTATCTTCCGCATTTTCCATCTCTCCGATTATTTATCTCGTCTTCTGTGCAATCTATCGAAAATTAATGGATCTGCCGAACTTGCCGAGTTTATACCATCTTTAATGCTGCATCTTTAATAATCCAACAATGTAAGCTTCTTTGCGCACGGATCAAGGTTCGATATTATTAACGAGGAGACCGATAATTACGTAGCATCCGCTATTAATCATGTTGCAATTTTAAAATAATTCACGAGAAGAACGTTGAGACGAGACTCGATACTGATATCGATGAACTGCGAGGCGATTTTCTTCGTATCTAGCTCGTAACGTACGTACTGCCCACGTGCATAAATATTGATAGAATTTTTGAAAGTTCCATTCCGGAAGACAATAATGACGTTGTTTGCGTTGGCAATAGTAAGTTTCATTACGGAGCCACGGAGTCGCAACGCAGACCCGTGCCGTAACTACGAACGGGGCCCCGTAATTACGGTTGCCAGCAAAATTATCCGTAGCAAGCAGTTTCGCGCGATACACACACCGTGTCCACAGAGGAAACGATCACCTTCGCGCAGACAGTTGACCGATTGGTATTATTAACGACGCTAGGCAAAATCAGTAAGCGTCCCCTGGTGTTTCGATCCTTTCCTTTCCTTTCCTCCTCGTTGCGTCGGAATGTTCCACGTGCTACATCGGAATTTATCGCTGACCATCGGAAATACCGTATCCATCGAAAAAAAAAAAAAAAACTCGGCTGATTACAGTGTTCAACGCTACTACAGCCGATAATCGTCTCCGCCGACAAAAGAGAAATCGTGTCCCCGATTGTAATAACGAGTCAACCGTAAGCATAATTAATCTCGAGCAAAACCAGAGACAAGAAATTCCAAGAAATTCTCTCAGAGGTGAAGTCTCGCAAGCGAAGAAGGCTAACGAAGTTGATGCTTGAATGTTCCCACGAATACTGACGGATTTTCTTTCCGTGAGCTCGCCAGGCTAATTAGCTGTTTAATCGACAGTGGTCGTCGTTGAAAATAGTCTCGGTCTTGAGTCGACGGACTGACCTCTGTCGTTGGTCCCACCCTTGTAGCCGAGTCGAAATGCCACAAACTGCATCGGAAAGGAGCAACGAAATACAGAAAGGGATGCCGAGATACAACCTGAGATACGAGCGGCATTTCTCTTGGTAATTTGCGAATTATTAATTTAACCATTCCCCTTTAACGGTACGAAGCCCGCGGCTAATATTTTCCTCGGAACTACCAACAGTGGCAAGGAGGGATGGATGAAACGAGAAAGACGAGAAGGAAACGAGGTTGAGAGAACTGGTGGTGGAAGGACGTAGATGGCATGACGTAGATGGTTATCTGGTCTTGCCATGAAACCCACCCACGGTTCCACCGTGCAAATGCGCCCGAAACAAAGTTCCGCATCTAAACATAACATAAAATAAAGACGAGTAACAAACTCGATAAACTCACGAAACATTGCCACCAAGCGACAAATACGTGTTATCGAGAAAATGACGAATTTCAGAGACTGACATTTTACTATCATTCTTCTTCGAGTAGTAAAAAATTGTTTAAAACGATAGTTTGTTAACGTTCATATACGTTCAATAGCAGAATGAATTAAATTCTCCAAGTCATTTCTTCCGATATAACCATATGAGAATTACAGTTCCGATGAACGCACATTCCCAATTACAATTACGTCGTTTGAAAGCCTAATTTGTTGTTCGCTTATTGTTCCCTGTAGCTAATCGATTTCACAAGCGAGCGCCGCCACGCCGACTAAGAGATCACCGAACGTGATTCGTAACTAATCGCCAGCAAAAAACGAGAATACGATTCCGCTTGCACGAAATCATAACTAGGTTTCTTGTCCTCTTTCCCAAAGGGAAGTTAACGGGACCGATATATATTCGATTTTCACAGTTGACTTACTTATCTCAATGCTATCTCCCCTGTCGCAACTATGAAATTAGAGTCCGCTGCATCGGTTGAACGAAGATGTCTTTCATTTTGTATTTATAACTGCTCTATTACGACGAAGGGGTTGTAATTTCAAACGGTATCGCTAGGTCTCTACAGCGATTTCCGTACCATGATTTCGTTTTACTTTTTCCAGCGATAATTTATCAACCGTCTCTTTTCCAATAGCCGAATTTTCATAAAAAAAANAAAAAAAAAAAAAAAAAAAGAAAAAAGAAAAAGATAGATTCGCGTGAGTGATTCGCTGCGACTATGACTCGCAGATTCATAGCATAGTAAGAAACTTTGCGGAACTATCGCGTAAACTTCTGCTCGATCCTCCACCTGGTAAGTATGGAGAAGAGGAGATTCCATTTCTGTGGAATAGGTGAGAACAGAAAAGGACCGAGATATGAGACGCGTCTTTTAATATCGGCGATGCTAAGAGTCTTCGAAGGGCGTGCATAGAACCCCTAGATCCCGCTGATTGACTGACTGACACGCGGGCGGTAAAGGGGCCGTGGAGGCCAAAAGGCCAGACAAAGGGAAAACTCGAGGATAACGGTCGAAGATAGAAAAGCGGAGCAGAGAGCAATCTCTTACGCTCGAGTTTGCCCCGTGGAGGGAACATCCCCCTCCCCGATCACTCCGAATAATCATCGCGGGACACAGTCAGCTTTCCCGCGTCACTGCATCTGCGAAAATGAGAGACGAGAGCAGCTCAGCGTTGCCTCAACCTCGCCAAAAACAACGTATTCGGGGATCACGCGAA